CTCAGTTATATAGAACAAAACAAAAGTACATACTAATGAATAATCATACTTAAATAAAAGGTCAAGTAGTCCATGGTAGATGAAGGTTGAAGTCTATTGTTTATTTGCACACATAGTTTAGGACATATGTGATTACTCAAAAGTTCTTCCATCACCTTGAATAACCAACCTTGAATTAGAGTTATGTGAAATAATTGTGAAGCAGTCATTAATATTGATTTTAATAAGTAAATAAATGTATAATAATAATATAATATATATGTAACAACAGAAGACAAGGGCCAGGCAAGAAATCGTTTATTAAGGAAAATCAACACATATTTATAGATTTTATTGTACATTATTGTAGATTATTGTTAGTAGAAAATACAGTCTTTTGATTGGTTGTTTCTCACAGAAAGTTAACCTTGCATCTCTTTGTGGCTGTGTCAGATCATCCATATGTTAACTGTATCCGCCTACGCAAAGCCTTTGTTCTCATTTTCTCACCACCAATATTGGGGACATAAACATTGACGTCAATTACTGTCTACCGACTTTGGTCAGCAGCCAGCTCTCACCATATATATATATATATATATATATGTATATAAATGTATAATAAATAATCTATATATAATTGTAGAACCTGATGATGAATTTATCGAAAAGAGTACTCTTTGTTCCGTGTCCATTCTTTTGAAAATTTTAATGGGCATTTTTAATCAGTTAAAATGTTGTGAGCCGCCTGTAGCGTTGAAGGTTCTCAATGAGTACCTGAAGTAAAACGCTAAGGTCAATGAAACAAAGGCTACATTAGACTTCATTAACAATTGCATCGAGTTAAATCACTATCCTAAAGTTTATTACAAGTCTCTACGTCGAAGCAGAGTTCATCCCAATAGGAAGACGCTGCAACGATATGCACTAAACCAAACAGACTCTTTATCTACATTCATTCAAGAGAATGAAATGAATATCGCTCGCAGGCAATATGCGGTAGATGAACTGCCAGAAGATCTTCGAACGCCTTTTATGGAATACGTTACCCAAGTTAGTGAACGAAGAGCAAAGAAGAAGCAGATAGACCTCATGAAAGGACTTGAAAGGAAGCCAGAGTCTGGTAAATTTCCAGCAGATCCTAAAATGTACGTCTACAATTATAGTAGTGTTGAATTAAATAAGGTGCAACTTGAAGTACTTTCCCTTGACCCTCGATTTTGTGACAGACCGAAACGAGTTAATCACTTAGATACTGGTATTGAATTTGAAAACCTATTTAGTCAAATAAGGGATCTAACTCCATCATCCACCTTCGAACTAGAACGCTTCAAATCCAGTCTAGTGGATTGTTGTTATCAGTACAAAAACCTCAAATGCGACAGTAAAAGTTTCTTGACAAAGGAGCACAGAGAAGAACTAAAAAGACTGATAAATGATGAGAGACTGATAATCACAAAGCCGGATAAAGGGTCAGGAGTAGTCCTTCTTGATAGAAGTGACTATATTAAAAAGATGAAGGATATATTGAAGGACACACAGAAGTTTCAAAAACTTGAGGAGAAGAAAGATTTCAATAACAAAATAGAGAATGAATTAACCAGACGTTTGAAGAAACTAAGGGAGGAGCAGATAATTTCTGAAAGTTTATATGAAGAAATCAGACCAACGGGCATGTATACGCCAAGATTGTATGGCCTACCTAAAGTGCATAAACCAGGGGTACCGTTAAGACCAATACTTGATTTGCAAAATTCGCCCTACCATGCTCTAGCTAGATGGTTAGTAAATATTCTCAAACCATTGCATGAGAAGATAGTGAAATATAGCGTCAAAGATGTATTTGAATTCGTAGACAAAATAAAAGGTATTAATATCAAGGACAAAACCATGATATCTCTTGACATAACATCGTTATTCACAAATGTACCTCTAATAGAAACAGTTAACTACATATGTGAACAAGTGTATAACCAGTCGATAAACATCGGCATCCGTACTGAAATCCTAAAAGAATTGATATTAAGATGTACCATGAATGTAAACATCAAATTTGACGGCATGCTTTACAGGCAAGTGGACGGAGTGGCGATGGGCTCCCCATTTATCCCCTTCTGGCTGGTTTCTCTCTAAGTAAGTTAGAAAATGGACCTCTGAACAACCTTATCAGTAAGCTCTCATTTTATTGCCGATATATGGATGATACCTTTATTCTTTGTGATAATGGTTCCGATAGGAGTACAATAATTACTGAATTCAACGAAGTACATTCGGCTATGAAATTCACATGCGAAGAGGAATCCCAAGACAGAATTGCCTTCCTGGATATCCTACTTACAAGAAAACCAGACGGTAGCATAAAAAGAAATTTGCATAGAAAAGGCACTTGGACAGAACAATATACACACTTTCACAGCTTCGTTCCTATCAATTACAAAAGAAATTTAGTGAAAACCCTCAGCCACAGAGTTAGAGCTATATGCTAAGAGGAAGTAATTGAAGATGAATTAAGCATTGTATATGATACTTTGATCAAAAATGGTTATCCTGACAAATTTATCATGAAACACATGACAAAGAAAGCCGAAAAGGACTACTCACTGTCTGTAAACAAGAAGCCTTTATATATACGACTACAATTCACGGGCGATATACCAAGCGAGATAATTACGAAGAAATTAAGAAAATCAGTTCAAAGAACTTTTAATGCTGGCGAACTACACGTATTATTCTCTACACGACCGATGGTGCTACCTCGACTGAAAGATGAAGTACCTAGACTAGCCACTTTAAATTGTATCTATCAATTCAACTGCGCTTGTGGAGCGAGTTATATTGGCCGTTGCTCTTGGAACTTGATTTTTCGTGCTCGAGAACATATCCCACTATGGCTAAGTAAAGGTGTAGTTAAAACTATTAACAGCTCGATATTAGACCATCTGGTGCAAACCGGTCACAAAGCCAGTGTGGAAGAATCCTTCTCTATAATCGACCGGGTGCCTAACAAATTACCAAAATCATCGAAGCACCGCATGCTCCAAACAGCAGAGGCTATTGCGATTCGCCTCAAACAACCAGTGCTCTGTGTTCAAAAGAAACAAGTCCAGCCCCTACTACTGCCCTGGCCCTCAGTAGAAACTATAAACTCATGAATTTGTACTATTATCCTTCATAATTCTTCTGACATTCAGCTTATTTTATGTTGATGCTGTTCAGCTGTAATCTATCAATATTATTGATTCGATGTTATTTAAACATTAATGTCGTTCATAAGACTAATTCATTCATTCACTACTATAATGTATATATAATTGTAGAACCTGATGATGAATTTATCGAAAAGAGTACTCTTTGTTCCGTGTCCATTCTTTTGAAAATTTTAATGGGCATTTTTAATCAGTTAAATAATAAATGCTTTGCAATGAATGGTGATGGATTTCTGTTCAGATTAACTGCATTGGGAGTTTCTATATGTTTTAATAACCATTTTGGAACATGTTCTTTTCGACAACACTGGAACATTCTATTTGTTGTACCTATGTAAGTGTCACCGCAACTACAGGTGAACTTGCACTTGTAGATACAGCTTGAAGTAGGGTCCACCGAATTTCGCCCTTTAATCGTAGGTACAGAGATCAAAAATGTTCGAGATGTGAGGGAAAGAGATGCGGTGAAGAATGTGCGCTTGGAGGTTCTGTGTTCGAACTCCCTGTGGCGGGTGCCTACTGCCGATGAGTCCCAAACCAGGACGGGGAAACAGCTGTCGAATACTCACTTACTGGTTTTCAATGGTTCTTTAACTGATATCAATCCGTGGTCTATACATATATTGATTGACTGAGTAGTTTCAACATAGAACTTTGCACCCACGTCCAGCAGTTAGAGTCGCTGCACTCTATGTGGCACACAAGGCAAGAGAAGAAAGTAAAAAGAAATGCAAAATGGAGACAGTAAACAGAGATATGAGGCAAAAAGAATAGTAATATGGAAGAACAATATAGTTTTATTGGATATTATAAGTCACAAGGAGTGGATCCATCTGCGCCAGCTATGGAGAACTATTTTGAGTCATATCATCAATTGTCTCCAGCCATCATTGGTTTTTATCGTCCCGAGGACCCCAACCAGTTAGGAAGTCTACACCTTTATGACTGATGCCATGTTTTGGTTTGACCACCACTGGCTAACTCTTTTCCAACCTGACCCTATGTCAGCTAACATTGCCTGTCGAAGTAGGCAATGATTAGGCATACGTTAAACATGTTCTGAACATCTCATTCAATTGATGTAACTTCGCAACCTCGTCGATTGGTTTTCCCTCCTTACCTAGCACTCGACCAGTGCCTCACCTCAATATTGCTCACCCAACTACACCTACCACCGAACACGGGAGATAGAACGCAGGCACCTATGACCATCCTTTTCATGTCTTCCACTTTCAATGGACAGGTCTCACAGCCATAAAGGAGGACGGAGTGGACTGCTGAGCAGTACACATGCCTTTTGGTCGACAGCCAGCAGGATATCACGTCTACGCCAGAGGCGGCGTAAACTGTCAGATGCGAAACGAGTCTTCTGTATCCGTGCAGAGATTTCGTTAGCGATCAACCCGGGGTACTTTGACGATATCTGGCCGTGAGGAGGGAGTGACGAGGAAATACATTGCACTGACCAAGTCACTCTACTCGAATTCATGCAGTGTTCGAGGTAAGAGCTTGCGGTGAGTTGTCATCTGAACTGGTGACAATCAGTGGTGTCCGTCAGAGATGCCCACTATCCCCATTTCTATTCAATTTCATCGTAGATGTACTAACGGACCTAACCCTAAGTGGCTGACTTCAGCGACTCAGGGATTAACTTGTTCCCACCAGGAAATAATCTCATTAACTTAGAATATGCAGATGACATAATCCTGCTCCTAGGTGGTGAAGACGCTGACAAAATGCACAGTCTTCTGAACACCTTGAGCTGCAATATATATATATATATATAATAATAGTATAGATAGATAGAATGTAACGAATCACAGTTCTCCAATTGTATTTACCTTATTAGACATTACTAATTGGAGTATTTCCAAGACATAAAAAGGGGAAACACAATAATTATACAAAAGAAGAAATAACAAAACAAACCACCAACAAAATTTTTTAATTCAGCAACTACAAAATAGAATCGGTATTCAAGAAAATTTTCCACAAACCCACAGCCATACAGATACACATATATAATGTCAATACGTAATATGTATAAATATAACACAGTGATATTGAAACACTCATAATTACATAACAAAACAGGAGAGCAATGCACACAAAAAGAAAACTAAAACTAGAGTGTTCCTTTGATATGCAAAAACAAAAAATACAATGAAATTTCAACAACAAAAAATAAATGAACATTATGTGTTTGGAAAAGGGCAAATTAGAGATTTAAGGGAGAGGTATTGACGGTGAACAGTCTCGTTTATAAAACTGAAACATAGTAACTCTGAGGGGTGAGTTTCCCTTATGTCTCTCTCAGTGCATACAGGAGACATGAAAATGAACAAAAGAATAAGTTACAATGAAAGAACGAAACAGGGAAGGTGGTGGTGGGGTGGCGAAAAAAGATCGTATCAGTTATTATCCTGCTGGTTGTATTCATTGTACCGGTATCCTGATGTCTACAAACTGATTTATATTATACTAGGAATTCGTACATGTATAGATATATATATATATACTGTGGAACAATGAATAAATTTGAGAAATAATCAAAATTAAAATGTAAAAAATAACAGTTTGGAATTGAATGAACTCTAGTTGAGTTATCTCATCTGATCTCATCTCATCCATCTTATTCAGGTTGATTCGTTTTCTTTGTGTTTCTTTACAATTCAATTTGATGGAACAATTCGTAGAAGTTTTTGTAAACCGACAGTCAGTGCCGCTGTAGTAAAGAAGAAGAAAAGTTTACAAAAAAAAGATTAAAACTGGAAAGCATTTTTCAAAACCTTTATTGAAATTCATACTATCAAGATTGATCATGAATTGGTTATATATGGTTAGAGAACTGTTGAAAACCAGGTAGCGAGTACTGGACAGTTATTACGTCCTATTTTGAGATTCATGACTTCACCGACAGGGGTGGAAGCCAGGAGATTCAGGTAACATGGTGAGCTCGTTGGCTATTTAGCCACTAGGATGGATGGACCCAGATGGGGACAACACAGTTGTCAGTGATTACTATCGGTTTTCAGTGGTTGTCTAATTGAACAATCTTCAAATCAATCAGTTCCATGAAAAGTAACTCTTTTAAAATGAATTTATTTACAGAGTGGTGGAAAATAACTTCGACTTGAAGATACAAACCATTTTTGATTGGACACTAGTCAGTAACTAGTGTCATGTGTCCAGTCCTTTGTTTGGTGAAGACTGAATTCTATCAGTCAAGTTCTCAGTGTGGCTACCATGATAGGTGGCTTGCCAACACGGTGTATTCTGAATTGCTGATATTAGATGGTTGCAGGTAATCGGTAGGAAGATATTGACCTCGGTTTCGTGCTAGCTGACACTCACAAGTCAGCAAGGCGTATCTGAAACTTTAAAGGAACTCATGTCTTTTCTGAGATTTGAACTTGTGTCACCAAGTGCTGCAGTCAAAGACGTTACCACTCAGCTAGCAAGCTGGCCATTCTGGCTCACGACTGACCTCCTGTAGGACTTTATTGGATATGGCGAGACACCTAGCATGAAGACCACATTACAAACTTAACGGATAGAATTCAATCTGCACCAAACAAAGGACTAGACACATTACACTAGTTACTAACCAGTGTCCAATCAAAGTGTCCAATACAGTTAGTCCTACAGGAGGTCAGTCGTGAGCCAGAATAGCTATCTAGCTAGCTGAGTGGTAACGTCTCTGACTGAAGCAGTGGGTGGTGACACGGGTTTAAATCTCCAAAGGGCATGAGTTCCTTCAGGGGTTCAGCTACTCCTTGGTGACTGGTGAGTGTCAACTAGCAAGAAATTTTTATTCATGAAGTTTTTTCAGTACATATTCCATATGATAACGGTAGCCCAAATTTTACAGGCCGACCATAGATATCGGGTGTGCGTCGGCAGGGGATCGAACCCCGGACCATGTGCATGGTCGGCGAGAGTCCTAACCACTGTGCCACCGACGCAGGTTTAAGTCTTCCAGCCAATTGTCTTCAACCATCTAATAGATACAAACCATCTTCTGTGGTCTAAAGTCCGAATTGTTTTCTGTAATTTTACTAAGAACTGTTATCAATAAATAAAATGCTTATTTAGAATTTAGTTATGGTCTGATGATACTACTCATTTGCCTTGGTATAAGTAGTTGAAGTGAGACCCGAACCAAGGACACACTCACCGAAATTCGACTGCTTAAATTGATGAACTTCATCAGTATAACAAATACAATATATTATTTTGACATGCATAAAGCATGTTTCACAAATTTCATGCGCAGGAAACCAGTTCACTCAAGGCTGCATATACGCCTCGCTGACAAGTGCCAAAGAGCAAATAATTTAAATCAAGTAGAGCTTCCAACGGTTTATCATCTGACATCAAGGAACCTTGATGAAGAGTCACCTAACTTGGCGGCCGTATACTACAAACTTGACTGACTTGTTGTTGCGGTAGATTGGATAGTGCGCCAGACAGTGGGCAGCGAGGAAACAGGCATAAAATGGAACCTCACGAAAAACGTCGACGATCTGGACTTCGCCGATGATATGTGTCTGATCTCCTACAAACTGGATGATATGCAAGCGAAAAGCAACACGTTGGCAGAAGAAGCATCAAAGAAAAGGACTTCAGGTGAACATAGAGAAGACAGAGGTGATGAAGATTCCTGGCCGACACCATCAACAGCAACAACAACAACAGACAACAATCAGCATAAATAGGAGGAACCTGAAAGAAACAACGTCCTTCACCTACCTGGGAAGCATCGTTTCAACTAGAGGCGGACGGAACTGATGAGGATATCAAAGCAGGAATCGGGAAAGCAAGACAAGCTCTCATTTCTCTCAAGTCTGTGTGGAGGTCAGTAGCACTCAGCATCAAAAATAACATCCGGACTTTCAACTTCAATATGCAGTCAGTGCTACTATACGGATCAGAGACTTGCACTGCGCTTCACGAAAGCCACTTTGAACAAACTACACACCTTCATCAACAGCTGTCTTCGCTCAATACTCAAGATCAGATGGCCGGCCAGAAAAGATCAGCAACAGGGATTTCTAGGAGAGAACCAACCCAGCAGGAACCGACTGTGCAACACATGCGGCAAGAAATGGAGATGGACTGGCCATACTCTGAGGAAACCATCAAGTGACATCACTAGACAAACCATTGCTCGAGTGGAACCCGAAAGGGAAGCGGCGAGTTGGTCGTCAGTGTGAGGGTGACTTGGAGGAGGCCATGTGAAGAGGAGATGAAAACGTGTGGGCAGACTTGGAGCCAGGTGAAAACTTTAGCAGAGAACCGAACGCAATGAAGCCCTATGTTCCTCTAGGAGTTAAAGGAAATAATAATAATTGTTAAAGTCAACTTTGTTTTTCCCACTGACTGAATGAACATAACTGAATCCCACTGCCAACATTACCACTCACTGGAGATTTTAGATGCATCCAGTTGATGAGTCTCAAATGGGATGAAGTGCGCCTCCTGGATTCCTTTCCTAGTCACTACCAGCCAAAAATATCATCCTATTAATCCTCATACATCGTCAATGGAACCGTACCAGAAGCCAACATGTTAACCTAAGCCAATCATTTCAGTCCAATCAGTCAACGGGAAAAATGAAATTTATCAGTGTGTTAAGTGTTGGTTTGCAGGGATTTGATTGGTTACAGGATTGATCATGAGCTGACATCAAACGAATACTTGATAATTAATCTGATTCTCACTAGTGACTGGTTTTATACAGGAATTCATCTGGGGTTCTAGTGAGAGGTAGTATCCAGCAGAGTCCAAGAAGTCAGGAGGAAGGACAGCTTCTCGCTTGTGACACTGGCTGATGGTTGCACTAAATGTATATATCACGAATCGGAAGAAGTCGGAATTCATGAACTGGCTATTGGATCGTGTCCCAGTGACTGAATGGTCTACCGGCTCGCTTTGCAACCACAACGTCCTAGGTTCCAACCCTTGCGGTAGTTGAGTACTGATGAAGATTCAGAAACTAGGACAAAATAGCTGTCGGGTACTCACTGGTGGATTTCACTGGTTCTTTAACTGATATCAGCTTGTGGGCAATCCTGAGTCAATATAGGTTGCAGATCATAATGCGCTTGCCTTAGTTACCCTCAGTAAAAGTGAAGACATCTGTTACTTTAATCCTTGAAAATAATCATTTCCACCACAAGATGAATAGCTATCCAAACAAATTTATCAAGAAACACATGACCAGGAAAGCAGAAAAGGACTGTTCTCAATCTGTAAATAAGAATCCTTGATGTATACGACTGCAATTCAAGAGTGACATGCACCTAGTGAAATAATTACTAACAAGTTAAGGAAATCTATTCAAAGAACTTATAACGCTGGTTAACTACAAGTCATGTTTTCTACACAACCGATGGTTATTCCTCGATTGAAAGATGAAGTACTTACACTAGTCCATTCCACTTATATCTAATAAATCAACTGCGTTTGTGGTGGAGCGAGTTATATTGGCCATTGCTCTAGGAACTTTATTTCTTGTGCTCGGGAACATCTCCCAGTATGGCTAAGTAAAGGTGTAGTACAAACCACCAACAGTTCGATATTAGACCACCTGGTCCAACCCGACCTGCCTCAAAGCTAGCATTGAAGAATCCTTCTCTATCATCTACAGGGTACCAAACAAATTACTAAAAACATCCAGGTACGGCATACTCCAAACAGCATAGGCTATCGTGATTCGCGTGAAACAACTAGTGCTTTGTGTGCAAAAGAAGCAAGTCCAACCAGTACTACTCCCCTGGGTGGCCTTCAGTAGAGACTATAAATTCATGAATTTGTAATATTATCTTTCCTAATTTTTCTGACATTCAGTTTATTGTTATGTTGATGTTATTGAACTGTAATCCATTGATATTATTATTATTTGATTCGATGTTATCTAAACAACATTGTTGTTGTTAACATCTCTAATTCATTCATTCAATATTATGGATGGATATACAACTGTAGAACCTGATGAAGAGCAGGTTATCGAAAATGTGAATATTCTTTGACCAGTAATCATTCTTTTGAAAAACATTTCAGTGGGCATTTCTAATCAGTTAAAATCAAATTCTGTTGAACACAGTATTATTGCGAATACCAGTTCAGTTTTTTTAGGCAAACTACAGTATGACGACTATGAAAATCATTTAGTCAAGCAACAATATTGAGCAAATAATTAATGAATTAATTAATTGATATCATCAATATAAGAAAAATGCACTGTAGTGCAGTGCACTGCTTCTCAAGTAAAAAAGAGAAATGCAAAAAAAAATTAATAACTGTATTGTAAAACAGTGAAGAAAAGCGAAAACAGGAAAGCCTGTAGAGAAGTGCATTTAGTAGTTTAATGTAATTTCCCCTCCCCACCCACACACACCCTCAGCCCCAACATACACTTTACAAAATGGCTAGAAGTTTAATCAAAGTGCTTAATGTTATAATTTATAAATATTTAGAATGAATATCTCTACGAGATTGTGTGTTGAATTTACTATGTGTACACTTGAAATGCCCCAAAACTTCTAAACCCCTACAAACCATGACAATTGAAATCCTGTAACCAATCAATCAAATCCCTACAAACCAATACTTGAATATCAATGAGATGCTCACTAGCGACTGGCCCTATTCAAGTAGGTAGTTACCTGGGGTCCCAGTGGGAAGTCGTGACCAGTAGGGTGAAGCAGGTCGGGTGTGAGGATAAATACTCGCCAGAGCTGACATTGGCTAGTGGTCGCGCTATATCGTGAATTGGCAGAAGTTGGAATTCATGGGCCCTTGTCTCGGGTCCCAGTGGCTTAATGGTCTACGAGCTACGCTTTGTAACCAGAGGGTCGTGGGTTTGAACCCTGGCAGTGAGTGCGTACTGCTGAATAATTCGAAACTAGGGCGAAACAGCTGACCATTATTCCCTGTTTGTTTTCAGTGGTTCTCTAACCGATGTCAGCTCATGATGAAATCCTGTAACCATGACAATTGAATCTTTCTTAAAATTACTGGAATGCAACTGTATCATTAAGCACAAGATACATGATGCATGAGGACCAATTTTATTCTGGAGAGGATGCAATCACTCCGTCCTTTGTCTAGTTGATAGTGGCTAGCAGTGGAATCAAGGAGACGCATTTCATCCAACTCATGTTAACAGGATCAATGTACATTCTCTAGTGGTTGATAGTGTTCCTACTAAGCCAATGAGTCATGAGTGTCACCTCTTGTGTAACAGATTTGAAACAATCAATGCTAAGAGTACTAGGAGTTTCGGTGGAAACATAATCACTCATAACAGGAATACAAGTATGTTCACAGTTGATGAATCCAAAAGAAGAGTAAACGTGAGTCTTGGATTTCACTGCTAGCCTCCACTGTCAATCAAACACAACATCATGCTAAGCTTCAGACATTGTTGAAACCTCTGAACTAGAAACCGCCATGAGAACAGGGACAGTGCATATTGGTTATATTAAATATGTGAAATCACTAAATAGTGAAATAAAGTTCTCTTATCCTTCTAAAAATTCTGTCTTTAACAAAGTTCGGAAGTCAGAAATAGGGAGGTTAGGAAAATTGATAAACTCAGACTGGTTATCAAGGTGTACTCAAATTTGTACATGGTGGTGCAAAGCTATCACGACTAATCAACAACAGGATTCACTTAAAGAACCACTGAAAACTAAGTAGTGAGTACTGCACAACTGTTTCGTCCCTGTTTAGAGCTCTTCAACAGTATGCACCCATAACGTCATAGCTATAGGTAGGACCGAGGACAATCAGGTTACAGTGCAAGTTCCCTGACCATTCAGTTACTGGGATGGAATCCAATGACCCGCATCAACTGTAACTTCTGTTGGCTCGCCTTATGTAGCACGACAGTCAACAGTTATCATTGGCGAGTATCTCTCCTCAGTAGACTTCAGTGATGATTACTTTCAACTAGGACTTCAAGCAAATTCATCTCGTGGTCAATCAGTAGTGAGTCGCAGAATAATTTTCAAGCATTCGTTTGCAGGGATTTCAGATCGTGATAAAATCCCTGCAAACCAACACTTGAAAATGAGAAGGTAACTGGAGGGGTTTTATATATATGGCTGAAAGAATAAATTTAAACACAATATTATTTTTATATAACTTACCCATTTTTTGACTAAACGATTTCGGTTTATTTGTCCATGCACAGCCAATTATGTAAACTGGTATACCAGTTAGAATGATTAGTACACCATATACTGAAAATTGGGAAAAACAATTATAAAATTAAGCATACTTGCTTTCAATCAGTAGTACTATTCAATAAATAATTTAATCAATAAAAGAAACTTGAAGAGATTCAGATGTGAATTAATAAAGTCGAATAGTCTTCATTAATCTAAGGATAAACCCTTACAATGACTGTGAGTTAGCTCATCCTATATAAGTCACACTAGTAGATCGGTGGTAATCAGATCAGTAGAGAATAAGAATTAAGCTAAGTGTAGAATGATTCACGGAACGAACAAATCAACTGGCGGCCTGTTTAAAACTTGGCCTACCGAAAACCTGCATCATTGCATATTGCATATAATTTCCCTTATTCAATTTGTTTAAATCCAATATTAGTTACTTTGGCGAGTATTTAAAGTATTTACAACCTGCTGATTTGCATGTTTCTACTAAACATGAGAAAAAGTGTTATCCTGGATGGCATCTTATCCCAGTACATGAAATGACTATTCCTGGGTTGTGTCCTTCGGTTCACAAAATGTACTCCTGAGCTTTTTATAACTGGTATTCAACAAAATGTCGTCGTGTATTTCTCGAAGGAGAAAAAGAAGAGATATCACATATAGTGGATTGATTTGCGCTTCAGGTCAGATAGAAAGAACTGTGTCACACGACCTACTTTCAATTAATACTTTATTTGAAGATCCTGGAGTAAGAGAAAATATCATGCACAATAAACTCAGGTGAAAATTCTGTACTCTATACATAAACACTGTTCAGAATAAAGCTGGTATTATCATTAAGATGAGTAGCATTAATACACAATCATACAATAGGGCAGAACAGAGAAACACATCAGAGAAGTTATATAGTTAGGTGAAGGGAGAAGCTGGTTACTGAATCTTTGCTCATCGAATCCTATACCCAACACAAGCAATAGGAATGACTAATCACCAATACCAGAGATATCAAAAGTATTACTACCAATGAAATCAAAGGATAAGAAATAATGGAAGTGTATAAACGAAGCTGGAAAGTTTTGTCACCGACCACCTTGATACGATTATGAGTGATAAATTGCGCTCGGAACCTCATCAGTAAATAAATAGTACTGTAAATTGAAAATCCCCTATAGTGTAATCAGAAAAAGATGGTTTTAAGAGAACAGTTTCTTTTTCGATAACTTCTTCCTCAGGCTTTACAGTTATAAATCCATGAATCCATTAGAATACAAATAGTCAGTAAAAGCAAGTGGAAATTATATCAGAAACTGTATCGTATATAGATGGAATGATAGTTCGTTAATTAATATTGTCAACTGAATATATATAAAATGTACAATCATTCAGAACATAAGATAAAATATGAGGGATAAGTTATCGAAAACAATGGTTGTCTCAAATAATACAGTGTCACAAAAACTGATTCTACGATGGAATTTAAAAGTTCCGCTTCCCAATAACTACAAAAAAGGCCTAAATAAGGTTCATTTGACTGACAGACAGACTCTAATAACTTTACCAAACAAAAGTGGTGCCGCACAGGATACACCTTCCAATATATTTCAATAATCCAGCCAGTTTAAATCGCTACAATGTATCACTTTTAAACTGTGTTTAGTCCTGTTTGAATTTCAGTGGTATTGGAGTGACCAGTTGCCTATTATCAAGTGAGTATGCAGCAGTAATTCCTTTTACAACCTAAAACAGTTCATTTCAACAAGCCTAGAGGTGAATTAGCATGCGGTGTCTGACTGACTGGTTTCAACATAGAACTTCGCATCGATGTACAGCACTTCGAGTCGCCACACTTCACTCAGCACACAAAGCAAGAGAAGAAAATAAAAAGAAATGCAAAATAAAGACAGTAAACGAGGACATAGCAAAAAGAAAAGAACGATATAGTTTTATTGGAAATTATAAGTCACAAGGAGTGGATGCATCTGCGCCAGTATTGAGAACGAATTTGAGCCATATCACCAATTGTCTCCAGCCATTGGTGTATACGATCCTGAGGACCCCAACCAGGAAGTCTACACCTTCCTACGTCCTGGCTTAAACTAATTGTTGTAGATTTCATTGACTGATGAAGCCATGTTTTGGTTTGACCACCACCGCCTTTTTTCCAACATGACCCTATGTAATGGAATAATTCTTTGACAAATCTCTTCTGACCGATCTAATCACAATATTTGATACTTATTTGGATGATTTAACTAACTTTGTCAATTGTTATCCCCCTCTCTCGTAGACTGTGTATCAATGTCCTGACATTTGTATATTACCTGTTGATTCGACCCTTATTATTCGTCTTTGTCCTTGTTTAATCCCTAATATGAATACTTCTCTTTTTTGGTTGTGTGGTACGCTAATATTCTGTTGTTTTACGATGAGATTTTGTTTGAGTGATTGAAGGTCATTCTGACCTTGGACTCTCTGTGGGAATATTCAACTTGATTCTAATTTCTCGTCCTTTACTAAGAACCAATCTAGACTGTATAGCTACCTAACGGCACTGTTGTGGTTATCCTGTTTTTGATGTGTGATTATTGTTTAAATAGAAACACAGATTTTAAGGCGAATAACTGTCATTTTGCTGTCCTTAGAGCGTTTTGTGAATGTGCATGACTCAAAGGAGCTTCAGTCAGCCATGCAGTAGGATGCAGATATCGCTTTCCTGAGTTCAGACCACAACAAGTCAGTTTTGGTCGTTACTGAAGGTTCAGTGACAAAACTTATTATTGTGTCTTCAGTGGAAGCGTGTCGATATCCTTGACTCCTTCATAAAGATTTTATCAACACACTTGTTTAATTTAGTCATCACTTCTTCAAAGTAATGAGGTTGAATTATTAGTGATAATTATGACTGGGAGCAAAATCGCAGAGGGCTAAGTTCGCATATGCCAGTTTACGCCATCTCTGGCGTAGACGTGATATCCGACTATCGACCAAAGGGCGTGTGTACTGCTCAATAGTCCGCTCCGTCCTCCTTTATGGCTGTGAGACCTGGTCGCTGAGAGTGGAAGACATGAAAAGATTATCTGTGTTCGATCATAGGTGTCTGCGTTCTATCTCCTTTGTGAAGTGGCATAATAAGGTGAGCAATATTGAGGTTAGGCGTCGAGTGCTGGGTAAGGCGGGGAAATCAGTCGACGAGAATGTGAAATTACATCGACTGAGATGGTTAGGACATGCGTTACGTATGCCTAGTCATCTCCTTCCTCGACGGGCAATGTTAGCTGATATAGGGTCAGGCTGAAAAACAGCTAGCGGCGGTCAAACGAAAACATGGTACCAGTCAATGAAATCCACAACAGTTAGTCTAAGTCACGTAGGAAGATGTAGACTTCCTGGTTGAGGTCCTCGGGACGGTGAAAACCAATGGTTGAAAACAATTGGTGACATGGCTCCAAATCGTTCTCAGTGGCGCAGATGCATCCACTCCTTGTGACTTATGATTTCCAATGAAACTGTTTTGTTCTCCGTTATTACTGTTCCTTTGTCTCACGCCTCTGTTTACTGTCTATATTATGCATTTCTTCTACTTTCTTCTCTTCCTTTGTGTGTTAGATGGAGTGTGGCGACTTGAACTGCCGCACATATGTGCAAATTTATATGTCGAAAACCGACCGACCGAAAATCGCAGAGACGTGGTCAACGCATTATGTGGCGCCTTATGATGAATAAATACTTGTGTAAGGTTAGCATTCAGCGGTGCGTCAAAACCCTCTAAATGGAGTCTAAGAGATAATTTGCAGCAATGGCTGCAGCTATCATCATATATGGCGTAATCAGTGGTAAACGCTCCGCGATTTCCTTCTTTCTACCCTTTCTGAAAGTAACATGAAATAATGAACCATCCTTATGAAGGCTTAATTGCTCACTGAATGATATCCCTATTTTCCTTATTAATTTTTGTTTTATTCAAGCGTTAGTTTGCAGGGATTTGATTGGTTACAGGATTTCATCATGAGATGACACTGGTCAAACAACTATCGGAAACCAGCAAGAAGTACTGAACAGCTGTTTCACCCTAGTTTCGAACTATTCGCCAGTAAGTAACCACGGTTAGGTTTAGAATCCAGGACCTCGAGGGCACAAGGATAGCTCGTAGACCATTTAGCCACTGGATCCCTATCCAACGGCCAGTTCGTGAATTCCAACTTCTGTCAATTCCCGAAATAGCACGATCACTAAGTATTTGTCCTTGCACCCGACCTGCTGCACTCCACCGATCACGACTTCCCATTATGACCTGCCTGATTTGAATGTAGTTGTGTTCTTTGAGCTGAATGGTCTATTTGCGAATCTTTCACTAAATTACTAGACAACATCTTCAGCACATACTTCAATTTGAAGTTTATTATTAGGATTGGTAGGATTTAATGGCGGAGGCAACCAATCGCATTCAAGATCACCAGGAAAGATGACGAATAAACTCGCGGAGAAATTCAAAGCCTCATTTCAAACTTAAGTATTCGCTGAAGACATTGCCTACTAAGGCTATGAAAGCTTCGCAAGTAAACCAGCCAGCTCAGAGAACAAACCTACATAAAAATCCTCTACCTGAGTTGCACATCTTCTCCATGATATCTAAACTACCTACATGAATAGGGTCAGTCACTTGTTGCATCAGCAGAATTTGGAATTCATGGACTCGCCACTGGACCTGAAGATCCTGGGTGCGTACTGGTGAAGAGTCCCAAACAAGGACGAAGAAGCTGTCTAGTACTCCTTTCCAGTTTCCAATGGTTCTCCTACCCATATCAACTAAAGTCGTTATATTATTTTTCCTGGTGCAACACCTCGTAATGACTACAATGTACCACAGTTTGCGTTTTAATAATACTAACAACGATGACTTCAACTTACATGACTCTTGAGGTGATCCAACGAAAGCGAAAATGACCAAAAACAGGGTAACTAGTACGTAGATATAGGCAAATGCTATTGGAGCCTGTAGAGTAAAATGAGAAAGATAAAAAATAAAAACAAAGAATTGATAAAATTTACATTTTATTTTTGTTTACAATAAAAAATTCCTCGGCATATAAAAACATGAATTAACAGAAATTAGAATTATTGAGATGAACTGAATTCCAACTCAATGGGTGTATTGTCACAGCAAGTTGGTCTTGTAACCTAAAGGTTCTAATTTTCAAGAATTTCTTTGTAGAGGTTTGGTTTGTTTCTATTTCGATCATGGATTGACATCAGTTGGAGAACCATTGAAAACAAACAAGCAGGGAGTAATAGACAACTATATCGTTTTATTTTGGGACTCATCAGCAGTAGGTTCCAACCTCAGGATTCGAACCCAGCACCTTATAGTTACAAGGCGAGCTAGTAGATCATTCTCAGCTACTGGGAATCGACTCAAAAATCTCCTGAAAATTAATCTGATGCTGGCTAGTGACTGCTTACAGGACGGAATGTCCTGGAGTTCTAGTGGGAAGTTGTGACTAGTGGGGTCCATCCAGTCAGGAATGAGGATGGAGTTCCCGCAGATGATATTGGTTGGTGGTCGCGCTAAAGCACGAATTAGTAGAAGTTAGAATTCATGGGCTCGTCGATGAATTAGGTCCCAGTGGCTGAATGATATATGAGCTTGCTATGTAACTAGAAAGTCCTGGTTTTGAAATCCAGTAGGTGCCTACTACCTATGAGCCCTAAATTAGGACGGAGAAAATAACTGTCCAGTACTCACTACCTGGCTTTCAATGGTTCTCTAAATGATGCAATCTTCTTTGAACTAACAAAGCACTTAACAATGTTTTTAATTCGATTAGAAGGTTATACATCCTACACAGTGATAATGTCATCCTTATACAGAACTAAGGTAATACAAACCTGACGACAGTTCTCATTGATCATGTCACATGTTGCCAACTTAATACTGGATTTTCATCGGTTGGGAATAATTATTTCAAATCAGAAAATATTAACGATTATTTAATTCTCAGTGAAATGTGTCAGCAAAGCACAGTCAGTCACCTTAGTTAATGAGAGTTATCGATTAGACATAACGATTAAATCCCCAGGAATCAACGTTGACCCTGTTCAACATCCTTTAGAAAACTATTGAAATCCAAATAAGAACAGTTGCTTCGTCCTTATCAAGAAGTCTTTACCACTGTTTACTAACAACTCCTCGTTGGATAATGACGTCATCTCTTAACCTGAAAATCCTGAGTTAAATGCCATTCATGCATACTACTGAAGATGCCAAAACTAGGAAAATAACTTCGGAATGAAAACGATCCGATCATTTTGGCGTTCTTCATAGATAACATAGTTTACCTTAAAAATGACGTTGACTTTGTCATCTTTTCGTTGAGTGGAGAATTTCTTATTATTGTTATTCCCATTAAGTCCTGATTAGAATAAACGGCTTCAGCAGCATACTGCTATTTCAATCTGTTTCCTGAAGTTACAGTCGCCCACAAGCTTCCATACCCTCCTCACACAACCTACTCCATGTCCATGTCAGCCCAAAGCCACACCGGTCGCTTCTCATCCGGGTTCCACTAGAGGACCTGGAGTAATGCGTCATTCAACAGCCTCTTCAACACCTACGTCTAATCCATCTCCATGTCCGTCTACACATTTCTTAGGCAGTAGGTTCTTGTCTGATTCACTACCTTCCACAGTTCACCGCTGCTTATCTACCTTTCTGACCAGCCATCTGATTCGCAGCAGCCTGTTCAAAATGACTATAGTGATATGTCAGGTCTGTGACCTAGATAGAAGAAGCCCTAACACTGGCTTGAAATTAATATTGAAAACTTTGATCGTTTTCGTTCGGTTGAGTGCAGTAAAGCACTACACTGATTTTAGACTTTTTGTCTTTCATTCTTTATGCCGGTTGGCTTTAACATCGTCATCTGCGCTGCCTGTAAATGAAGGAAAGCTACCCAACTGGGTAAGTAAAACATACGACTCCATTTCGATTTAATCTGTTGATAGTGATTCGTGCGTGTTGTTGGTTATTTACATTATTCCAGAAATGTCTTTTAGTAAAGTCTGGGGAATATTCATATTCGACATGATAACCATTAAGAGTATTTCTACAAGACGTATATGCTGCAATATCTGAGTAACTTAAATAAAGCTTATACATACTCTTGGTGTTCTCTTGAATTTCCACTGGTGATAACAGGAAAACATTTTCCGAAGATAATCACTGCTTTTCGATGTTAGTCTGAGAAACACCTTAGAGCGATTTTCGAAGCAACGTAAACAATTTACCCTAACTGACTGATTTCAACATAGTACCTTATACAGATGTGCAGCATTTTGAGTTGTCACTCTCCTTCCATTTATCACACAAAGCAAGAGAAGAGAGTAAAGGGAGGTTCAAAAGACAGAGATAACAGACAGAAGTGTGAGTGAGGAAAAAAAGAATAGTAATGTGGAAGAACAACAGACTGTCATTAGATATGACAAATCACAAAGATTGAGTCAATGCATCTGTGCAGTTCACAACAACTCTGAGCCATATAACTAATTGTTTCCAGCCATTAGAACCCAACCAACCAGTCAGTCTACACCTCCCTACGTGGCTGGCTTAAACTAACTGTTGTGGATTTCATTGTGTGATGAAGCCATGTTCTTATTTGACGAACACTAGCTCTTTTCCAACCTGATTGGTCCTGTGTCATTGGCTAATATTGCCTGTTGTCGAAAACGGTGATGGCTAGGCATGCATGCGTAACACCTGTTGTACTAACCATCTCATTCAATTGATGTAATGTCACAACCTCGTCGATTGATTTTCCCTCCTTACCTAGCACATGACCAGTGCCTAATCTAAATGTTGCTCATCCTATTACACTTAACACGTGAGATAGAACGCAGGCACCTATGAACAAAGACAGCTACCCAGACTTTTCATTTCTACCACTCTCAATGGCCATTTCTCACTCACAGCCATAAACTAGGAGGTGTGAAAGAAGTGGTGAGCAGTATACACGTCCTTACATCAATAGCCTGAAAATCACGTCTATGCCAGAGACGATGTAGGTTGGCATATACAACACGAACCTTATATATCCGTGCTGAGATTTAGTCAGCAATCGACCCATTGGGTCTGATGCAACTTCCTAAATCAGTATAGTGGTCAGCATTTCATTTCCCCATTTTTAAGCTAGGAATGAGTTGGTGCAATCCAGTCTAGTCCTGTAGCATTGTCTTACATTTGCGTCGGTGGCACAGTGGTTAGGACTCTCGCCGACCATGCACATGGTCCGGGGTTCGATCCCCTGCCGGCGCACACCCAATATCTATGGTATGCCTGAATTTGGGCAACCGATATCCATGCTGAAAATTCCATACTTGTACTGAAAATACGGTGTGGAATCAAGCTGTAAATCAAAAAAAAAAAATAAAAATAAAAATAAAAAAAATTTGACAGGAGCAGATCGCAAGCAAAAATATTGCAAGATTGCTGCTCCTCAGGGTGTTCAGAATACTCTGCATTTTGTCAGCGCCTTCACCACCTAGGAACAGGACCATATCATCTGCATATTCTAATTCAATGGGACTATTCCCTCATGGTAACAAGTAAATACCTGAGTCGCTGAGGTCAGTTAGAGTTAAGTTCATAAGTACATCTATGATGTAATCAAACAAATCGGGACAGCCGTATCCCTCATGGACACCATTGGTTGTTACCATTTCAGATGACAAATCTCCATAAGCTCTCAGCTGGCTGGCTATATGAGTTCAAATAGAGGGCCTTGATCAGTTTTCATCCCCCGGCCAGGCATCACCACAACACCTCTTGTCTGATGGAATCGAATGCCGCTCTCAGGTGAAGAAATATGACAACTGCTGAATGGACGCCAATGGGTATGCCTATGTTCTAGAATCTGTTGAAGAGTGAAAATATCATTAATACACTCTCTCCCTGTTCTGGTCTAAAGCCTTTCTAATTTTCTCAACAATCTACCCACTTAAAAATACACCATTTGCTTAAAACAGGAAGGCCTTTCTCCTTGCATAATTCTGACACCTAACGCTTCTGTATATCTATTATTTCAAACTTTCATTAAAGCATGCCAAACCACTGCTTATTTCATCTAACAGTTTTAGCTAATATAGGATTGCGTTGAAAACAAAGGCGCCAATTGGCTGATAAACTTAAACATATCGTCAGTCTCTGAAGTCACTAAGTGTTCTTTTCAACCACGTAGAGAGCTTTAGACTACCTAGCTGGGATCTTCAAAGCATTAAAAAGCAACTGATTGAAGACTGTCGCTGACATGACTCAAAACAGTTCTCAGTGATGAAGTGGGATCACATGAACTGATTAACTTCTTGTGCAAACATATCATGTTGATAATTCACTTCAATTGAGTTTTCAAATTTTCAAAATGGAATCACTTTCACCGCGGTGTATTCAAAGAATAATCATAAATGTTACCATCATAAAATAAACCATAGTGTAATAATGTAATACTTACTTTAACTGGACGGGGAACTTTAGGACGTGTAAATCTAAAGATTATTACAATGAGTACGCAGAGACCAATAGCTAACCATTGAACAAATCCCATATAATTGATTAAAGCGAATATATCTCCAGAGAGTAGATAAACTAAAGACATTATACACTGAAATGAAACAATTAGAATAATTAGAATAGTGAAGCATAATTAATAATAACATGAAAAAGTAGAATTATATCAGCTATTCTATTTTTTATTCCTTTGCGTTCCGAGTGGAACACAGGACTTCAAACTCGAGTTTTTAAGTTCCGATTGGAGTAGCTAGCCTCATGGTGCGTCGGTGGCAAAGCGGTAGAATGCTCGCCAACCACGCCTCACGAATTCCGGGGTTCGATCCCCGGCTGACGCACTCCTTTACCTCGTTAAGCCAGTAATAAGACTGGTGAAGAGGGAAGGTTGGGCAGGAGGCTAGCAACTCCATCCTGTGAAAATAAACACCAGCTGGAAGCCCTATGTTCCACTGAGAATGTAAAGGAATAAAAAAAGCCAACCTCATGCATAACTTCCCCTCTACTGGGCTTACTACTACCAGCAAAGCTGGATTTAAGAACGCATCCGCGGTGGACCAAACCTGGGACCACGTGTGGGCTGTTTTCACTGGCTATTCTACCACTGAACCACCTCAGGGACCTAGCAAGGATACGAACCCAGGGCCACTCACATTTGATTGATAATGGCTGGCAGTAGAATCCAGAAAGTAGATTTCGTCCTGCCTTAGGTCTCTTCATCTACTGAACGTGCCTGCTTCCTTCAGTTGGTGAAGAAATTAACTCACTAACAGGAGAATTCATCAATTCTCGATGTATAAAGATTTCGATTAACATAAGTGTAAATTGATTAAACAGTGCCATAATAAATTTTGAAAAAGTTTACAGTGAACAAAGAATATTCATTTTGATAACCTCTTCTTCTTCATCAAGTTCTATAGTTATATAATCTTAATAGGTGAAGAACTATTTTTATTCATAACATCAAGTCACTAAGATGAATCATCATCATCATCAGTCCCTTGACTTTCGTCGTGGGGGTGCTATGACAGTTCGCGCTATCAGTCTTCGCCATTCTTCTCGGTTTAATGCTATTTTCTGTAGCGTATCCAAGGGCATTTCAGTCCACTCTTTTATGTTGTCAAGCCAGCTCTTATTCGGTCGACCTCTCTTTCGTGCTCCTCCTACTGTGCCTTGTAGAATCGTTTTGGACAATGTGTCATGTCTTACCGTGTGGCCGAACCATTGTAGTTTCCGTTTCTTTACGATTGAAAGGAGTGGTTCCTGTTTTCCTGCCAGTCTATGGACCTGGTGTAAGACATATTCATTAGTTTTCCTTTCAAGGTAACTTATTCCTAGGATCCTTCTATAGCTTTTGTTTTCGAAGGCTTGTATTCTTCTTTCTGTCTCTGCATTCAGGGTCCAGCTCTCACATCCATATAGGAATACAGAGAGGACCAGTGACGAGTAGAGTTTCATTTTTGCTGAGACGCTGATGTTGCTCTTCCATATTTTCCCTAACTTGGACATGGTGGCAGAGGCTAGGTTTAGTCGAATTTTTATTTCCTTAGTGGACCTTCCATCTTTTGTTAGGGTAGACCCAGGGTATTTGAAAGTTTCAACCTCTTCTAATACATGTCCATCAAGTCTGATACATCTATCTGAGTTGTTTCCTCCGTTAATGAGTATTTTGCTTTTTTCTGTGCTGATTTCCATGCCCACAGATTTGGTTGCAACATCAAGTCTTGAGGTGAGGTCCTGAACTTGATCAATGTTTTCCCCAATGAGGGCTATATCATCAGCAAATCTGAGGTTGGAAATTGGTCTTCCGTTTATGCTAAGTGTCGGTGTAAAGTCATGTAGGGTTTGTGTCATAATATGTTCGAGGAATAAATTAAAGAGGACTGGTGAGAGAATGCACCCTTGGCGTACTCCTATAGTTGTTCTGAAGAACTCGCCAGTTTGATTATTTAGAGATACTGCACTACTAGATTTGTTATATAAAGACTTAATAACCTCAATTATGTTTTTATCTATATTGTAGTTATTCATGACTTGCCATAAGCCTTCGTGCCACACACGGTCAAAGGCCTTCTTAAAATCGATAAAGTTGTGTACTAGCATTTTTTGGTGTTGTAGACATTTTTCGTTTAGTACCCTTATGTTAAAAATTTGTTCAGCAGTGCTTCTGCCCGGCCTGAATCCGGCCTGTTCTTCTGAGAGTATTTCCTCTACTTTCTTTTTGAGTCTGTTCAATATTACTTTCAGCATTTTAGTTAAAAGGCATCTCTAAGTTATAATATGCATCCAATATAACACCGAAATTTAAATATAAGATAAATTAAGGAACACAATAATGGATTTATGAATTTATAGGTGACTCAGAAGGCAAAGGTAGTCGTGATGGCTGGATGTGTTTCATTCTGCCCACAGAGTTCCGGTTTTTTTAAGCGAATGGTAATAATCTCTCCTGTTTAGAATATTTGGTATCTAAAGGCAACTGGTAACTTATTTGATACCCGATAGATGATAGAAAGAGGTCATTCACTTCCAGCATTTTGGCCTCTATGTACTAGGTGGTCTAATATTGAAATGTTAACAGATTTTACTACACCTTTATTTAGCCATACACTGGTAGGAGATATTCCCGAGTAAGAAAATAGAGTTCATAGACCAGTGGTCAGTATAACTGGCTCCACAGGAATATTCTTAGCGGACTAATCAAACAGTTATGAATGATAATAAACAGATTTATTGACATTTTGACACTAAATGATGTAAATGTGACTGATTGTATTTGACTTTCACTCAACAAATCCTCGGTTCGAATCCCACTCAGTGTATTTCAGCATTGCTGGTTAGATAGTGTCGTCAGCCCGGACACACATGATAATTGTGGCTCATAGACTGACTCACAACAAAAGACTATCTCAAATACGTGAGTCAAGTCATCAGGGTTTAAGACTCTCTCTAACAGTGGTTGATATACACATAGAAACAGACAGGAGGATGTAAAATGTACACCCATATAACACTAACTAGTTAGAGGAGCCGCCATCATTTAGAGAACCGCTGAAAACAAACAGGAAGTACTGGATGGCTGTTTAGTCATAGTTTCGGACTCTTCAGCAGTACGCACATACCGTCAGGGTTTGAACGCAAGGCCTTCCGCCTACAAGATGAGCTGGTAGATCATTAAAGCCACTGTGACCATGATTCAATGGTCAGTCCATGAATTCCAACTTCTGCCAATTCATAACATAATGCGACCACTAGCCAATGTCAGCCCTGGCGAGTATTTGTCCTCACACCCGACCTGCTATACCCTACTGCTCACGCCTTCCCAATGAAGCCGAGGTAATTGCCTACCTGAATACAGTCAGTCACTAGTGAGCATCAGATGAATATTTAAGTGTTTGCTTTCGGGGGGGGGTTGACTTGCTACATTGACAGTATGTTTTGATTAGGTAACAGATTCATTGCCCATTATTGTCATAGTTAGACAGATAATTATTATTCCATAATTTTGGAAAGTGACTACAAAACGTACCGAACAACGAAATCAGTCCAAATGAAATTCACAATACTTCAATAATTAGAGTATTTTGTTGAAATAATAGAGAAAATTTGTAGCTCAGGTGGATAATTTGCAATTAATAGTATTCTCCGAGCTGGTTGGTTTAGTTGCGAAGCTTTCGTCGTCCTTCTGGACAACATCTTCAGCGCCATATTTAGCACAAAGTGAAATGATTTAAATTTCTTCATGAGTGATATAATTGCGTCTCCTGGTAACTATCTTTACATATGTATTGACCATTTTCTATTCACTTGGATTTTAAACTTTTTGGTTACCTGATTTACTTTTTATTAGTTGGTATATTTCGTCTATATTAACGTGATTGTTAATTGCATTTTCGTTTGAGTACCAGGCTTCTAGGAATTCCCTGGCACTTTTAGTGTTTCCTCTGTCTAAGATTTTGACATTAACCCAATCAAATTGATGACCATAATCGTCTATATGCATTGATACTAAAGAATACATATCGTATTTTGTTATCAGATGGGACAAAGATGGGCTCATATGGTATTTGCCAACTATCGTCATCTATGGCGTAGACTCAACGTGAGGCTGTCGATCAAAGGACCTGTGTACTTTGTAGCAGTTCACTTCTATACCTCTTTAAAGCTGCTGGACACGGATGTTGAAAAGGGGAGATACAAAGTGGTTGCCTGTCTTTTATCACAGGTGTTTGCCTTCTATATGTTTATGTTATGATATAGTTAATAATACTGAAGCTAGGCGAACAGTGTTCAGGTAAGGAAAGGGAACTCAGTCTACGAGCCTATGAAGTTACACTAATTAGGATGGCTGAGACACATGTGTTGTACATACCAAACCATTGCCTTCTTCGTTGAGTTTATTAGCTGACATAAGATTAGGTTGAAAAAGAGTAAGGTGTTATCAGACTGAAACATGGCATCAATCCACGACTCCTCTGACCATAGGTTTCAGACAAACAGGAAGGTGTAGTCTGTTTGCCTTTTAGTTCCATGGCTAAAAGTTGTTCTCACTATACTCCTAGATCCATCATGGATTGATATTAGTCATGCAACCATTGAAAATCAAGTTGTGAATACTGGACCACTGTTTCGTCCTAGTTCAGGATTCTTCAGCAATATACAACGCAGCTATAACGCCATAAAATATCAAAGCTAGAATCATCAGGTTACCAGAAGAGTTCACGTATTATTCACCCACTAGCAGGGAATCTAATGCTCTATGAATTCAAACTTATTTCAGTAGTATATTATATTATATCATAATATCATACTATTTACTTACAGTGAATATAACTGCTGGAATTGGTGTCAATCGACTAGTGTGTAAATAACTGAAGAAAGTTGGCATTTGATTCACTTGACTAGCGACAAAAAATATTCTTGATGTAGTCAGCACAGTTCCATTAGCACCACCGAATGTTGAACATGCAACAAATATCGGCATTATCCACCACATTACACCGTAGATTCTTATTGCAAATGTCTGTAATAAAAAGTAAAAGGTATATTGTAAATATTATGCAGTCACACTTATTCTTTTCTAAATAACGATTAATAAATAGAATCATGAAAATAAGTTACTCAATTATAATAAAGGCTTTTTTATATTTCCCAATAAATGAAAAACAAAACGATATTGTTGTGTTTACTGGCGTTTCTCTATTTAATGCTAACAGCTTTATCAGAGTAGTAATACTAAACTAGAATTTACAAAATCTCAGCTTATATATACCAACTTAATCATCGTTCCTCAGCATGGGGTCATTTTTCCGTTGTCAATTTGGCCAATTGGTGGAGATAATAAAACCAGGTGTAGATTGTTGGATTTGATAAGTGTGTAAAATTATAAAAGCAGTACGTGTTTATTTAATGGAATTGCTTATCACATTAGTGTTGATTCTGTCATTGCATGGGGGAGGGAGGTGTTGTAACCAGGTCAAATTCTATCTTAGTGCATCATTCCTATTCAGACAATTTGGATTCCACTTCATATGAAGTGTTTCTGATGTAGTGAGACGTTCTTTGTGATTTCTGGAATTTTTCTGGATGATGATTTCAATATTGTCAAAATCAATTTTGTAGCCTGGTTGAATAGCGTGTAGACCTGTGGCTGATGATTTTTCAGGCTTCCCTAGTTCACTAACTGGATGGTCGAACAGATGCTTTACGGTCTTTATTTCTTCTAATTTTGATTTCTCCATATGTTTTTCCGATGTATATCGCATCACATTCCAAGCATTTTATTTTATAGACAAAATTAGATAGAGAATCTTTAGGGATTTGGTCATTCATATGGACAAGGTTGTTTTGCAGTGTGTCCGATGTTTTGAAGAAAACTCTAATGTCAAACTTACTGAGTTCTCTTCTGATATCGTCTGACGTGTCTGCTCTATATGGAATGACAACTGCTGAGGTCAATGTTTTCGGAATATGATAAGTTACTCAAGCTTTGAAATAGAATTCGTTTAGGCATATTAGATATTAAAGTCGGTGCGTCGGTGGCATAGCGGATAGGACGCTCGCCGACCATGCACATGGTCCGGGGTTCGAATCCCGGCCGACGCACTCCTTTACCTCGCTAAGCCAGAAATAATGCTGATGAAGAGGAAAGGTTGGGCATGAGGCTAGCAACCCCATCCTGTAAAATAAACACTGCTACAGAAACTTCAAGCCACTAGCTTGAAGCCCTATGTTCCACTGGGAACGTGAAGGAGTAAATAAATAAATAATATGATATTAAAGTTTATACAGAGTGTGTTCAGAAACATATAACACTCCTACTTCCTGTTCAACCTTCTTAATAGAATATACCATTGAATGAAACTCTGTTCCACTTTGATTTACTTTTCAACTCATTTGATGTCTAAATTCATTAGGATTAGCTTCAATTTCACTTTTAATTGATTGAAATTCTCGGTATCCTGGAATGGAGGTTTCTACAGTGTCCTGAGGTTAACTTCACGTCACTTATTTGATGGAATCAAGGAGGTGCATTTTTACTATTTGAAATTCGTCAACTAGGTATAGGTGAATCCCATGAGTGTCTTGATTGTGTTTTTTTATTACAGCTTGATTCCACATACTATTTTTAGTACAAGTATGGAATTTTCAGCATTTGATACCGGTAGCCCAAATTTTGCAGGCCGACCAATTGATATCAGGCGTGTATCGGCAGGAGGTCGAACGCCAGACCAAGTGCATGGTCGGCGAGAGTCCAAGCCGCTGTGCCACTGACGCATATACCCGCTAATTGTAGCGTCTTAATCCATTGCTATGGTATTTTAATGGAAATTTATATATATTTTCCATGCTTTTTAAATGAAATTTTGCATTAGAAAACTTTTTTCTGGCCTAAAATTCTGTAACTGCTGCACATTCACCAGAAATGTTGCTTGATATTTACATCTGCGAGTTGTTGAAATTAGGTGGTTGCAGGCATTCAACAGGAAGTCTCCAACCTACGTTTCGTGTGAGCTGACACTCACCAATCACCTAGGTGTATCTGAAAACACTGGAGAAACTAATGCCCCTTATCACATTCAAACCAGCGTCAAGACCCACTGCTACAGTCAAAGACGTTACCACTCAGCTAACTAGCTAACTAGCTATTCTAGCTCGTGACTGACTTCCTGTAGAACTGACTGTATTGGACATTTTGATTGGACACTGGCAAGAAACTAGTGTAATGTGTCTGGTCCTTTGTCTATCAGTCAAGTTTGTAATGTAGTCAGCATGCTGGGTGGCTCTCCTTACCGACTGGTGAGTGCCAACTGGCACGAAACGTGGATTGAAGGCTTCCTGACGATTGCCTCCAACTATCTAATACTATTCATCAGTATTTCAATATTTGGCATTACTGCTCTACCAAAATTTATCTTCTAAAAATCATTGATTACAACTTTGTCTATCCAAATACTTTAAAGTATACAAACCTTATTAGTTGTGAAAAACTTAGAAATAGATATTAGAGATAAAATATTATCAACGTATTCTGTTATTAACCATGCTATGCATACTCTGTACGTCTTTTAATGCTCTATACACATTTATTACTATTGCTTGTAAACAAAAGGTCTACATTTCACTTCACCTTACTTCACTCAGCCTGAGTTGAATAATCATACCTCTTCTGCATACTTTTTTTCTTATTATTCTAATAAACACTGACCTGAATAGTCTTCAAGAGAAATACTGTGCTCACACCACTATTTTGTGGTATGTAAGCAGTCAAATTTACTGTTAGCATTATAATAATAAAAAGGAATTGAAGTAATTCCAATTACTTCTGATATACATATATATCTTTACATAGATATTACATGGCTGGAGGCAATCGGAAGGAAGCCTTCAGCCTGCGTTTCGTGCGAGCTGATACTCACCAGTCACCAAGGTGGATCTGCAATCACTGAAGGAACTCATGTCCCTTCTCAGATTCAAACCCATGTCACTACCCACTGCTACAGTCAGAGACATCACCACTCACCTAGCTATTCCGGCTTGCAAGTAACCTCCTGTAGGACTAACTGTATTGGACACTTTGATTGGACACTGGTTAGTAACTAGTGTGATGTGTCTAGTCCTTTGTTTGGTTAAGAATGAATTTTATCAGTCAAGTTTGTAATGTGACCATCAAAATGCAAGGTGGATCGATAACACGGTGCACTCTGAATTGTTGTTATTAAACAGTTGAAGACTGATAGAATTCAGTCTGCAGTAAACAAAGGACTAGACGCATAGTACTAGTTACTGACTAATGTTCAATAAAATATTTATCTAAATATAGGCGACTTGGTTAACATTTTCGATGCTGCATCATATCAGTCAGACACTTCGATGTCCTCTGAAGGTGAACATGATATTTGGATGATATCGGTGTCTGGCAGTGCAATCCTGAATGCACACTTCATTCTACTTAAAACTTTCCAGCTAAATATACCTGTATCTCTAGTGACTAATAGCGTTCTAACAGATTCTAGAACCCAGGGAGAGTCGTTATGAACATCACACAGTTGACCATTAGGTCAATGTGTCATCAGAGTCTCCTCTTGTGCAACGGAAATCATATATTATTTGTTTTTAAGTCAATTTAATTTTATTGTTGGATGATTGAACCAGAATTTTCAGGCTCCTTTAAAATGTCAACTCGTGGTACGGATATTTCGACGATGCTTGAAGATTAACTTGAAGCAGTTTGATGGATAGTGATTTGGAAACTACTTCGCTACTATGGAATGCCGCCGACAACTATACATCTTATCCAACAGTTGTACGACAATGCTGTATGCCAAGTAATCCACAACGGAAAACTCACGGGATCTTTCGAAGTGAAAACGGGGGTAGGACAAGCTGGCTACCTACTACTATCTCCCATGATTCTCCTGATTGCTGTAGACTGAATAATGGGACAGACAGCGTGCAGTGAGGAAACAGGCATAGAATGGACTCACACAAAAACTTGAAGGATCTGGACTTCGCTGATGGTATATGTCTGATTTCCCACAAACTGGAAGATATGCAAGCGAAAAGCAACAAGTTGGCAGAAGAAGCATCCAGAGAAGATAGAACTTCAGGTGAACATAGGGAAAACAGAGGTGATGGAGATTCCTGGTCAACAGCAACAGACAACAACCAGCCAGCATAAATGGGAGAAATCTGAGAGAATCAACCTCCTTCACCTACCTACCTGGGGAACATCGTCTCAACTGCAGGAGGAACTGATGAGAATATCAAAGCAGGGTTGGGGAAAGCAAAACAAACTTTCATTACTCTCTCAACAGCACTCAGAATGAAGAACAAGATCCGGATTTCCAACTTCAATGTTAAGCCAGTGATACTATACGGATGGATCAGAGACTTGGCGCATCACGAAGGCCACTTCGAACAGACTACAGACTTTCATCAACATCTGTGTTCGCTCAATACTCAAGATCAGATGGCCGGCCAGAAAAGATAAGCAACAAAGAGGGATCTCTGGGAGCGAACCAACCAGGAACCGATTGTGAAACAAATAGGCAGAAGGAAATGGAGATGGATTGGCCATACTCTGAGGAAACCATCAAGTGACATCACTAGACAAGCCATTGTTCGAGTGGAACCCGAAAGGGAAGCGGCGAGTTGGTCGTCAGTCCAAGGGTGACTTGAAGGAGGTCATGTGAAGAGGAGATGAAAGCATGTGGGCAGACATGGAGCCAGATGGAAACGCTGGCGGAGAACCGAACGCAAAGGGAACGTTCGTCTGAATACCTATGTTGCTCTAGGAACTAAAGAAGAGAAATAATAATAAAAATGAAAGTTTGTTGGATGGGCATTAGCAGTGGAATCCAGGAGACCAATTCCACCCTATGTATGACTCGTCATCTGGATGTATTCCCCATTAAGTAATGATGTCCGCCACTGATACTTGAGCCCCACGTCCATCGTCTCCATTAAGCCACTGGGTCACAACAGCCACCTCATATGCAACAGAGGTCAGTTATTATTACTGACTGATTATGCTGTAGATCCTTTGGTGATGTCCGAAGGCTAACATAATGTTATTTGGTTGATTGATTCATTGATATTGGTGGCTGACAATGGAATCTTGGATTTGTATTTTGTCTTGACAAGTTCGAAAGAGAATGAAATATCCATTCTCTATTCCACTGCTAGTCACATTTATCAATCAAATAACATCAGTTAATCGATGTGCAAAGTATAAATATTATTCAGTTTTCAACAAAAGGTCAACTGTTATAATCAGAACGTGAGTTTCTTCTGTATTTAAAAGTCTCTTAAGTACGGCCACGTATATATACATATATGTATATAGTCACTTGTGACAAATGAACACAGCAATGAAATCAATGTTACATATACTATAATTATTAAAATAATCACAACAGAATTCTCTGTCATTCACAAACTTAATTGAATTCTATTACAATCATCAGATTAAAATAATGCATCAACTTTTGAACAGAGATGATTATATTTAAGTGTATGATTAGATAATTGGGGAAAATTGGTAGGTAGACCCTACCTAGACCTAAGTAGGTTTTGTGCTTGTTGGCACTCACAAGTCTGCAAAGAGTAGTTGAAGTCTTTAAAGGATTTGTGTCCCTTCCGAAAAACCCTGATGGAAAACGGTTTCCCGCCCAGGTTCATAGACAAGAATCTCAAACCGAAGAAGAATTCAGAACAAGTCCAATCCGTCCCAAAGGAAATACTACTGCTTAATCTAGAATTCAAAGGTGATATCGAAGCAGAAATCCTTCGCAAACGCCTCTCCAAATCGCTGAGGAAAACATACATCGCCGCAAGCCTACGACTGACGTTTTCCTGCAAGAAACTGTTCAACCAGAACGCGAAAGACAAGCTGTCGCATTGGGCCACCTCAACATGCATATACTAGTTCACTTGCTCTTGTGGAGCTGAGTACATCGGCCGTACCATGCGCCAACTTGGAAAACGCGCTCGTGAACACTACCCAGCCTGGCTGGTAAAAGGAGAGCAAAAACGTGTAAACAGTTCAGTGACAGAACATCTGGTCAGGACATTCAGCGCCTTTCGAAAAGTCCTTCAAAGTAATATACAAGATTCAATCAAACCTATCAAAGGGAGTGAAATCAAGACATTTGGGCATAGCTGAGGCGTTAGCTATCCAAAAACTCAAACCCACCCTTTATATCCAAAAGAAATACATTCAACCCCTGTCCCTGCCATGGCCATCGTAAACAGGTAAATTTTTTAATAATGACCATCCCATCGCCTTTCTTATCTAAACTTCCTGTTTATTCATGTTATTTTAAGTTTTCTTAATCCCTGTCTACACTACCATATTTTCATATCCACACTTCCTGTTTATTTTGTCATTTTATTATTTCTACACATTTAATCCCTGATTGCATAAACAATTATTCATCACATTAGCTTTTTTATCCAAACATCCTGTATATTTTGTTATTTTTACATTTCTAACCCCCAATTGCACAATGTCAATTTTCTTAGTTCTTATGCTACTTTGTTTGAGTTTTACCCATCCCCCTGTTTATTATGGCATTCTAATTCCTAATTGTAATTTTTATTAATTTGACCCCTAACCAGAAATTGTTCTGGAACTTTCCCATCCATTTGATATAAATACACGAATGTACAGCCTAGATGATGACTTCGTCGAAAAGAAAATTTTCTTCGCTGCAACTGTCTTTTTATTCCCTTCTGACTTTCAAACCCGTATCACGTAGTGCTGCAGTCAGAGGTGTTTCCACTGAGTTAGCTATTCGGTTATTAATCTCCTGTGGCACTGTGTTAGGTGTATTAAGTGTATTGCTGGGTACTGTACTTCTCGTACATATCAAATACTTCTAAAATTTAACGTAGGATTCTGCCAACAAGTTATGCAAAAAGACATGAATGTCCTTGGGGCTGAAGATGCACGGTATTGTTGTAAATAACAAACAATCTTCCAGACAATTGATATCTAATATCTAACCTCATTCAAGGGCCACTGACTCTTAGAAAATCTACTCAATTACGCACCATATTTCGCTCAGTATTTAAGCCATAAACCAGCTAATGAATACATTAATAACTAAATTTAGAATGATTATAAAAGCTTTACTTCTCCATGAACTTTATTCAACTTCTTATTTTGGTGAAAGTTTAGGAGAACTCACAAATAAAACAGATTCAGCCTTCAAATTTGGTTACGAATTAATACCATTTAGAGGACAGCTTCTTCATAGTGTGTGACTCTTCAGCAGTATGCATCCATGACCTTCAGGCTATAAGATGAATATGCCAACCATTCAATGGCTGAAACAGAATTTTCAATGGTTCATCAATTCCGACTTCTGTCGATTTGTGATTTTTAGCGCCACCACCGGTCAGTGAATCTCACTGATAACGACCTGTAACCAGAATTCCAGGCAATTTCACACTATGGTCGGTTACCAGTGAGAATCAAACTGATCTTCAAGTATTAGTTTGTGGGAACTTTATAAGCTTCAAATATGATAATGGGTCAATATCTCGCATTTATATATCACGAATTGAGAGAAATTAGAATTCAACGACAACTGCATTTGTTCCCAGTGGCTGTTTTATCATTTAATATTGTTCCGTTGGGCTCCTAGTGGAACATAGGGCTTCAACTGCACGTCTCCACTTGCTTCTGTCTTCTGCTGTACTTTTCACCTGCATCCATGTTAATCCGTACTGTTTCAACTCCTCTTCACACGATCTCCTCCATGTCACCCTTGAACGTCCCACTCGCCGCTTCCCTTTCGAGTTCCACTCGAGCATTGGCCTGACGCGCGATGTCACCCAACGGCCTCCTCAGCCAGTGAGTGTCCAATACATCTCCACTTTCTCCTGCATATTTGTTGAGCGATTGGTTCTTGTTTTGTTTGTTCCCATAGTTTCTTCTTGGTGATTCTTTCTAGCCATCTAATCTTCAGTGTAGAACGAAGACAGCTGTTGATAAAGGTCTGCAACCTGTTGGAAATATTCTTTGTGACCCTCCAAGTTTCTGATACGTATAGAAGAAGTGACTGACTTGACGTTTGTATTGAAAATCCGAATTTTGTTGTTGATGCTGAGTGAAGAAAAATGCCAGATTGGTTTCAGGTTGATGAGTTTTGTTTCCCAATGGCTGAATGTTGAACAGTTTCACCTCATAACCAAAAAAGTCCTAGGTTCAATTCCTAGAGGTGGGGATTAGTGGTTGGGTGATTGCTCGTACTGAGACGGAAGAGCTATCCAGTACTCGCTATTCCGTCTTCAGCTTTCCTTCAAATGAAGACATTTCATGATCAAACTAGAAACTACTCACATCCCTGCAATCTAACACTTGAAGATGTCTTCTTATTTGGATACTTCTAAAACATCATTTCAGAGAATAACGAACTTCTCTCTCTAATTTTCAGAACCACTCATTATTTTTTTGATATTACAATCGATAAAAACTGATAATGAACTGACAAAATCAAATTTCAATAAACTACTTTCCACAGCTGTGCGTCAGTGGCACACCTCATATGGTTCGGGTTTGATCCCCGGCAACCGACGCACTCATTTACCTCGCTAAGACAGTAATAAAACTAGTGAGTATGGAAGGTTGGTCCAGGTGAGGCTAGTAACCCCATCCCGTAAAAGTAAACACCACTGCTACCGAAACATTAAGCTTCTAGACTGAAGCCACTCTATGTTCCAACACTGAAAACGTAAAGAAATCAAATTTCAAAAAAAACTTACCACAGCCACTGCTCTTGTACTCAAAATTTCAGCAACTGGTACAACAGTTGCATATGCAACATTAGCAAATGTATAAAATGCAGTCACCAGGACACAAGAGACAATAATTGCTATAGGTAAGTGTTTTCTTGGATTTTTCATCTCTTCAATCATACAGTTTAAATAATTCCATCCAGAATAAGCAAATAAACCACTGTAGAATGCATTGGCTATTAAACCAGGACTCCAATCAGAATCTTCAAATGGATCTCTTAAACCATCATAACGACCTGAAAAAAACAGTTTATGAGTAACGGAAAAACAAAACAAAAGATAACATAGTTCAAGTATATATTTTATGAATAAATATTAGTAGTAAATGTATTGTTGCCCAAGTGTCCTAATGAATAACACCATTGTAGCGGCAAGCATTCTGTGTCCTAAAATTCAAAGAGCATAGTTCGAGTCTCAGCAAAACTCTTGCAAAACATTTTGTGCATCTGTAGTTCATGAGTAAAATGTTCTCCAACCACACACATGTAGGCGAAGTTCGATTCCCAGCCCCACGGACTCCCTCCTAAATCTTACTTTGTCTGTAGTAAGCCAAATGGAAAGAGAAGGTTGGGTGTAAGGCTAGGAATCCCACCCTGAAGAGCTAACTAACACCACCGTTACTGACACTTAAAAGTAAAAAACAGAAAGAGTAAATTAATAGGTATTTAACTTGGTAGAATGCAGTTAGTTTCAGGATTTCATCAGGAGCTGACATACGTTAGAGAACCACTGGAAGACCAATACTAGGGTACTGGACAAATGTTTCGTCAACCTAGTTTAGGACTCTTTGGCAGTACCTAGCCACCACAAGGGTCAGAACTTAAGACTTCCCGGTTACGAGGCAGGCTCGTAGACCATTCAACCAATGGTGCCTGATCCAAAGGTCAGTTCATGAATTCCAACTTTTTATTACCGGTAGATTCTGAGTTCAAACCTTGACGGTGAGTGAGCACTTCTGAAGTGTCCCAAACTAGGAGGACACAGGTGGTTTTCCGATCGTTCTTGAATCGACATCAGCTCATGATGAAATCCTGAAACCAAACAAATCCCTGCAAATCAACACCAGATTACAATTAGTTTATCATTAACTCATAATCAGTTAAGTTAATCTAACACATCATATAATATCTTTCCTTGCGACGAAGTCATCAACTAGGCTATACATTTGTGAATGTATAAAATAGCGATTAGAAAGTTTTGGAGATATTTTCTGTCGGATCGTGATTAAAACATGAAATCCAAACAGGAATGTCGGATTATAAGTGTGATTAAATCATAATGGCTTTCTTGTGGAAATAAACCGGTTATGATGACCAATGACAAATACAGCAGTGCTAACCCGTGACCTGACCCCAGGGGATTGAACCCAGCCAGGCCCATCAAGTTAAGATGTGAGCCCGTTGACCATTCAGCCATCTGGTTGAGAATCCAGTAGTTAATGAATTCCAACTTTTTAAATCCGCATTTGTATTACATGACTTCGTCTTGTTATTCACTACATTTTGACCTCTGACAGGAAATGATTATGGGACTTTCTCACTGCTTTGTTTTATATATTCACGAATGTACAGTATAGTGAGCATTCTTCGCGACCTCCCACTGGAGGTCAGTCGCCATCCCCAATAGCTTAGTGGTAAAGTCTCTGATTGCAGCACTCACTGGGTGACGCGGGTTCGGATCTCAGAAGGGACATGAGTTCCTTGAAGACTGCAGCTATTCCTTGCTGACTAGTGAGTCTCAACTAGCACGAAAGGTAGATTGAAGTCTTCCTGCCGATTGCCTCCAACCATTTAAGACAAGTTTTTAGCCATATCACCAACAGTCAACAGCCATTGGTTCTTGGTGTCTTCTCAACCCAAGCCAGTCAGTGTACAATTCTCTACGTGATTGAAAACAACAGGCAAGGACATTATGAATCGATAACAACTCTAATTCAATTCTAATGCAATCCTGTTTCAGTTAACATTATCCAACAAGGAAGGCGGTAGCTCAAAATGCGTAATACATGTCCTAGCTATTTCAATCGATGTAGCTTCGCAATCCTAATAGTCCAGCTACCTTCATTACCTGACATTCTTCACCTGACCTCAGTATTACTCACCATCTAACATGAAAGATGGTGAACAATCAATGTATAACAGTTGTAAGATATCAAAACATTAGCCGCATTATGCTTCCACTTTTTTTCGTAATATTTATACTATGTCTATGTCTCATTATTCAAAGATCTGGTTATCATCCAGATTATGAAATTCCTCACTAATCTTCATCTTCCATTTCCTGTTTCCTCTGTAGTTCCATATGTAATTCTTAGAAGTGTACTAACTTCAGTGAATATGCTTTTGTACAAAATACCAAGTCAATAAATTTAGTCACTTATTCGCAGGATTTTCTCTTCAATCGTTCTATTTTCAGTCAAATTATCTTATTTAGATATTAAAATCTGATTGAATGTGCACAAAATACACTTCCCTTAAGGAATTCACTTCACTCTCATCCATCTTTAATGTCTTGGTTAATGTATGAATGTAGACTCTTATCAACAGTTACCTACTTTCGCTTCAAACTGAAGATCAAGTAACTTACAAGAATGGAAGATAAGCTACAGGGAACACCAAAAAGCAGCAGTTCAGTGAGTTGATTCGTGGGGATTTAATCCTTATTGAGGTATGTTTGATCGAAAACTGTCATTAAATAAGGTGACTGACTGTGCTTTGCTGACATATTTCACTGTGGATTAAATAACTGTTAATATCTTCTGATTTGAAATAATTATTCCTAACCGATGAAAATCCAGTATTTAATTGGCAAGATGTGACATTGTCAATGAAAACTGTCGTCAGGTTTGTATTACCTTAGTTCTGCATAAGGATTACATTATTACTGTGTAGGATGTATAACCTTCTAGTCGAATTAAAAACATTGTTAAGTGCTTTCTTATTTCAAAGAAGATAGCATCATTTAGAGAACCATTAAAAACCATGTAGTAAGTACTAGATGATTTTTCCTCCGTCCTAGTTTCGGACTTATCGGCAGTACTCACCCACTAAGTTTCCAATTCAGGGCCTTCCAGTTACAAATCAATCTCACTGGGACCCATCTCAATGGTCAACCTCTGAATTCTTACTTCTACCAATTCGTGATTTTAGCTCAGCCATTAACCAATGTCATCAGTGTGCATTTATCCTCACTCCCTATCGGATGGACCCAATTGGTCACAACTTCTCATTAGACCTCCAAGCAACTTTAACCTGTAACCAGTCACTAGCGAGCATCAGAATAATTTTCAAGAACGAGTGAGGACAAATACCTGTCGATGACACTGCCTAGTAGACCAGAGCTGAAACCATCAATTGGTTAAAGTTAGAATTCATAAGCTGGCCACTACGTCCTGTCATAGTGACTGAATAGCCTATCAGCTTGTCTTGTAACCGGAAGGTCCTGCATTCAAAACCCGGTAGATGTATACCACCGATAAATCCCAAACTAGGACGGAGGAAACAGCTGTCCAGTACTCTTCTGCAGTTTTCATTGGCTCTCTAACTGATAGATTAATCCGTGATCTAACTTGCAATAAATCGAATCCCTACAAACTAACTATTGGAATATAGTACCTATATATGAGTATTTTCTATCTATCTTCATTTAGATACCACAGACGTATATTTCTAGCGCACTTGATGTACAAGTAAACATTATGTTTTGCAGCGTAACATTTTATTTACTCAACCACTTGTTTAAGACTATCATATGAAGTATTTATTTAAATTTTTTTTCAAAAACCAAAAATATCTTTTCATTACCCTCGTGAGAATAGTAAAGAATAAAACAAAAATTAAGATGGATTTCTTGTTTCTTTCAGATAATAAAGATAATATAATTTAAAGCAGTTGGTCCTTTTCGACGGTGTTATTAGAAGACGAAGATTATCTAAAAACCTGTGATGTATTTCAGTAATACATTCCGAACATTATTTACAGTATAAATATATATATATATATATGAAATTCTTACTGTCATGATAGATACTCATAAAAACATTAATTACAGACATTTGAAAGCTTATGAGTGCACTACAGAAACTAAATTTATTTTTAAGGTCATCTCAATTAACTTAACTGACCCAGACACCGACGTTTTAGCTACATTTCACACATCTAATGATGACGATGATTTCGAAGATTCTACGGTGGCGCAAGAAAGGCGTCTATCACTGTCTGTTTCAGAGTGTATGTGTGTGTCTCAAAGTCTACAACATACAGTACAAGGAACAAAATTAACATTTTCATCATGAATGCCAAGTCAATGCTTTTATCTACTTCACCACAAATATCACATCAAGTAGGCTTCCACAATTTCCCATCAATACACTCGTCTTCCTGTAATGTTGAATATCAGGTAGACCAGCCAGAAAAGATGAGTAGAACAGAGAACTCTAGCAGTGCAGAGAATCAACCATAAACCTTTAACTCTACAATACACAGAAGGGGATGTAGATTGACTGAGAATACACTGAAGAGAGTTACAAGTGACAACACACACGCACACACACATTACTCTCCACTGGAATCTGTACAGAAAGAGATAGACTACTCATCCAAGACTGACACAGAGAAGATCGTGTGGAGAGCGAATGAAATGGGTAGTGGTGAAGCCAGGTGAGGACGATGGCAGATAGCACAGTGCAACTGAGGTGTGCAGCTAAAGCTTTGTGTTCCACTTGGACTGCGAGGAAGGAATAATGAGTGAATGATGTTACATCCAGCTTCGTTGACTCTACAACATACGAATTATCATTAGGCTTACATTATCTGTTTCAACAGTGCTATTAGAAGACGGAGGTTATCTGAAAAATGTAATTTATTTATGCAATACATTTCGAACAGTCTGATCCCTCAGACATTTACTTTTCAAGTCAATTTGTATGAAAAAACAGCAATTAGAGTACACAAAGTGACAGAGAAGAATTTAAGAATAATAATAATAATAATAAAAGTGCGTCGGTGGCATAGCGGTTAGGACGCTCGCTGACCATGCACATGGTCCGGGGTTCGATCCCCGGCCGGCGCACCCCTTTACCTCGCTATGCCAGAAATAATGATGGTGAAGAGGAAAGGTTGGGCATGAGGCTAGCAACCCCATCCTGTAAAATAAACACTGCTAAAGAAACTTCAAGCCACTAGCTTGAAGCCCTATGTTCCACTGAGGAACGTGAAGGAAAAAAAAAAGAATAATT